GAGGCTCCAGGTTGCAGTGTAGAGCACATTCTTCTTATCCTGTCTTGCTCTGACTGGCCCAAGGGCTACTGCAGGAGCAATCTTTTGTTTGATCTGTTCAAAGTCCTGTTGTTCAGGACCCCATATGAAATAATTTTTCTTCTGTGTCACGAGGCAGAGAGAGCTTACTCTCTGGCTGTACTCTGGTATGTGCATCCCCAAAAACCCATGTGTTATAGACTGTTTTTACAAAGAAGAGCAAGGAAAACTTGCTTTGTGAATAAAATGGATCGAACCCAGAAAGGTTCAAAATATCCCCTAAAACTTGATTAAAACTAAATGGGGTTAGGTGTTGGCAACAAAAAACTTGGTATGTTTTATTTAATAGTAAGAGACAAAGAGAAAAAGAAAGAAAGTGTGCAGGGGATGGGGAACAGCTGGAGAGTAACAGGGGTTACATAGAAACCTATCACCCTTCCAAGCATCCCAACAAGCACTTCATTGCTCCCTTCCATCTGTTCTTCGTGGTGGTGAGGGTCCCTTGCTGCCCCACCATCCAATGGATTAATATACTTTTGGGCCAGTTGAGAAAGCTCATGTACCTCCCCAGGGGAGGGCAAGTTTGACACTCTCTTGCAACACTGTGGATCTGTTACATTGTGTTGCAGTGCTCTGGTGCAGCATCTGGGGACCCCTTTATTGGGGGCCTTTGATTGGCCATGACATCCCCTCTGCTATCCTTCACCTGGTGCAGCTTTTCCCAGGGTGAAAGGGTCCCACAGCTGAGCTGGTCTGCACAGCAGAGGATGGGTGTTCACTGCCTTGAACCAGAAGCTTTTTCATCACACAGCCAAAGCCTCTTCTCCCAACCTTTGAGGTGAGGGCCTGTGTGAGCCTGGCAGCTGAATGCCCTGGGGCTATGGTCCCCACCCTGATGGTGCTAAGCTTGATCCCTCTGTGAATGTATTCTTCTCCCCTAGATCTTATGTGAGTCATTTTCTCTTTTCTCCATCAATATGCAGTCCAGGGCCTTAGTCTGGCATGGCACTCTTCTCTGGAGCTTTTATGCAGTTTTGCTACAATAGGCAAAAGTCCTTTTAGGCCATAAACTATAACATTCCAGTTGTCCACACAATGGTGCCTAGGAAAGCCTGGGCTTCCTTCTTGGTGCTCAGTAGGGATATAGCAGCTATGTTATTAATCACCTAGTCTGGAATTTGTTGACATCCATTTTGCTGCTTCACTCCTAGCAACTGATCCTGTACGGGTCCCCTGACCTTACTTTGATGGATAACCCACTTTAAGGAGAACCTGGATTCTTTTCTCCCCTTTCTCACAAACTTCCTCTGCCATTTTATCCCATAGGATCAGGTCATCAATGTAGTGGAGATATTCCAGAGCCTCAGCCTTTTCCATGGCAAATGGTGGGGCTGTGCTTTCAGCCCTGGAGTCATTGTCCAGGTGTAGGGGATGACCCTCCAGCTGAAACCAAACTGTGGCTTGCACACTGCTGCTAAAGGAATGGAGAAAAATGTGTTGGCAATATGTCTTGGTTTGAGAATGTTTTCAGAGAAAAAATGCTACAGGGTAAATGTTTCCTCTGAAGTGAAAAATTTGATTATTTTTCCCCACCAATATAAAATAGATATTTGGGCAAAAGTGAAGAGAAAAAAAAAAGTTTATCAACAAAACACGGTGCCCACAGGACACAGATAAAAAGTAACTGTTAGATATTTAAAAGTCCAGTAACGCACGCCGCTCCCTTCCCCAACAGCTCCTCGGCCACATGGTATGGAGAAAGATGGGGCAGGTCTTGTCCTAGGGGAAAAAAAAAAAAAGAAACAAAAGAAAAGTCCACTTCGGCTGCTYGAGCAACTGTGGCAACCTGGTGGCAGTCCTGTCATCACTGTGGATGAAACAGAGGGCTTGGTATGCTTTTCTGTCACCAGCTGGGATTCTTCCGGAGTTCAGGATGAGACGAAGCAGTGTGACTTTTCCCTGCTGGCGCCCAGCTGGTTGGCGCTTGCCTCCTGGTTCTTGGACTGCAACCCTGCCGATCTGCTCCAGAAAATCACAGGAGTCGCAGAAGGGATAGCAATCCAGGGATAGCTGTTTGCCCAAGCTGACAAACCCGAGCTAGCTAACTAGCAACAACATAACTCCCCTGCACGCAGTGAGCAGGACTCCCGCAGTGCCGAGCTGAGCTCCAAAAGCCCACGACCACGTGGCAGACCTGGCTTTTTAACTGCCCGCGCTGCCTTCCCAGCCTCCCCTGCCCCTTCTTCAGGGTTGCATTTAAAGGCACAGACACCTTTGGGCATACAAAATGACGGAATATAGGAATACAGGATTGCCACAAAATAAACCCAAGACACAATACCAGTGGTGGCACCATTTTCCTGCCTTGGACTCCAGTACATACTGAAGTTGCAGCATGTCTGTCACAGCAGCACTCAGTGGTGGTGTGACTTCATTCAGGCCATGATAGTCCACTTTAGCCTCCTTTAGACTTATGCACAGAATGTATGGAGCTATTGAAGGGGGGGCGGGGGGGGGTAACTCTAGCTGACTGCTCCCTGGATCTCCAGTTCATGGATTATTGAATAGATGACAATCACAGTGTCTCGGTCGGTATGGTATCGTTGATGGTGCATTTTTTGTGGCAGCAATYGGTACTTACTTTTCTTCACCCTTCAGATGTCCTACTGCAGAACGGTCCTCTGAAAGGCAAGGCAGGGTATTCAATTGTTTAATGTCATCTGTCTCCAAAGCATCTATCCCAAAAGCGCAAAAAAGTTCTTTTGGGTCTTTGAAATACCCACTCATGAGGTAATCTGTATCAAGAATACATGGGGTCTCTGGACCAGTCAAAATAGGGKTTTTTTTTCCATTCCTTCCTGGTCAAGGTCACTTCAGCTTCCAACAGAATCAACTGCTGCAACACTCTGTCACCCCAGGAAACAGATTCTGCCCCCACCATATCATGATGGTATCAGAGTACACTATGTGCCAGTGTCAGCCAAAGCTTTCTATTTTCATGGTTCTGATGTGCCAGGACACTGAACCCACACACTCCAATAGACCCAATTTTCCCTGGTGTCTATCAGCTTAGGGGTAGGGCTCCTCTAGTTCTGACTATCAGTCCCTCCCTGGGCACACATTCTGGAGGTCCCTTGAAGGGGATTGGACATGTCATCTTCACTTCTGTTCTGCCCAGAAACACACTCCCAGGAAACTGGAGCTAATTTAACTCTTGCCAAGTTTCCTTTGAAAGCAGTTTCTTCTTTTAGTTTATGTAACGGTGCTGCTAAGATGGAAGTGGGTTTTCATCCCATTTTCTCATGTCTTCTCCATGCTCACAGAGGAAGAGCCGTAGGTTGCCTCGTGGAGTGTACTCCCTCTCTCTAGCTGTGGGGTGCCTGCTTCAGGTAGCAGGGATTCTGATCTATGCTGGTGAAATGTGGGAAAGACCCTCCCTAAGCTCCTTTCTGAGTTTCTGATGGCTTTTTGATGGCTCTCTGATAGCTCTCTTCAATCTTTTCTTCCAATATCTACATACATTCAGTCAGGTCTGTTTCCACAGCTGAGATTAGGGCTCAGGTTGGGGTGTGGACAGTGACTTCATATGTCTGTAGCCTTCTTGTCAAAGTACTCGCTGTCTTGTCTTCCTCATTCCATTGCATTATCAATAGGAAGTGCACTTGTGTATCAAGCTGTGCAAGTTTCAACCACATTAATGTTGTACACAAGGTCTGGAATTCTAGTGTGTTGATCATTATTTGAGAAAATTATCTCTATCACACTTAGTTCTCTCAAGCTTTGGATTCCTTCACAGATTCTACTTTCCCTTTCCTAGATGAAAATCTGGAATATGCACATCCTCTGACCTTGCACAATTTCAGATCATCATTTTTTTCTGAAACAGATGAAAAATACTTCGGAGACAGTAAAAAACAAAGGATTTCTCTACTGAAAAGTTACTCATCACTTCAAACAACAGGCATCACAACAGCATGAGACTGAAAATAATAGGTAAAAGTTTCAGATAATGCATAAGTGATCTCAAAAGATATAACACTAGAGGATTGTAAGTTAGTGCATTTGTTGCTAGGTTGATATAATGCTGAAATTAATTACAGAGGGAATTGAAGATAGATATTTATTCATTTCTTGGATTTGCATGAGTCAGAATAGAGCCTGGAATACACACAGCTGTTATTTTTGCTCTACCATCTTTTGCACTTTATTTCTGCAATCGTCTTCAAAGTCTGCACAACACATTACTCTTCTGCACTCTGCATGCTGCCTAGAAGCTCTGGCTAAACAGACACCGGAAATATTTTACAAGGTGTGTTTCCACTGAAGTGTCTCTTGACTATATTTAATGGTTCTAATAATGCACAAAAAGCCTGTTAATACTTTACATTACATACTTTGAGAGCCATCTGTTTTTTGTCTGACCTATCATCTTTCTATTAGAGAAGCACAGTATATAAAAGCAGAAGAAAAGCACAGCATCTGAAAGTTTCCAATTCTTTTCCTTTTAGAAAATGTATGTGTCAATCTCAAAGAAGGAATGGGGTAAGAGAACGGGCCAGCACTACTTTTAAATATCAACACATGCAATGAAACTGTCCAAACCACACCACTAAAGACTTAGGATCTATAAATATTATTACTGACGTATGGTGAAGAGGCAGGCAAATGCACTGTAGCTCTGACTTCACTGTTACCAGGGAGACTCTAAAGTCTGTTATCCCCCAGGTATTTGTGCAATAACTTGTTCTCTTCTATTCTCTAGTATTCAAACACAGTTTTGTATTCAGGAAGAAGTTCATGAAGAATAAAAGTTAATTCTCTCAAATACTAACTGTTCTGAGTAATTTCCTACATAACTTGACTTTGGAAAAATTGTCCAGGTCTTTAGAAAATAGGAAACTTAAAACAGTACCCAAAAAAAAAAAAAAAAAAAAAAAAAAAAAAAAAAAAAAAAAAAAAAAAAAAAAAAAGCTATAGTGCAAGATAATGAAAAAAAGAATTATTATACCCCTATAATCTACCCACTATATCAAACTGATAAGTTCAGACATGTCCTTGAGTTAACCTCTTGGAGAAAGTCATAGAAGCACCAGGTTAAGCATTCACAAAAGTGGTCATATCAGAATATTTTCCAGAAAAGATAGCTTGCCTATCAACTCAGGCCCAGGAAATGTACTGGACACAAGCTTCCATCTGCACATTAAGGATTCAATCAGTCTCCTATTTTAGCCTGGTCACTGTGGCATCGAGGTAACAAGTATGGTAGGAATATGGAAGAGATATCCCAAGATCTCCATAATTCACAATGATTTTCATTAAATGAAAATAATAGAGCTCCCCAGCTATATCTTGTCTTTCTCTCTCTTCCTCTCTCTCTCTCTCTCTCTCTCTCTCTCTCTCTCCTAAAAGATAGTAAAAATGTAACTCAAAGAAAAGACAATCCTCTAAATATTTGGTCTGCATGGTGGCCTACATGAAAACAGCATGAGCCAAAGGTTGAAAGGAAACTAGGAAACAGCAGAGAGATGGCACTTTTCCCAGGTCACCAGTGGACACTTCTAAAGCCTGTATTGCCTTTCATATCCCAACATGCGAGGAAAGCAAGGGACTGGAGTGATACAGGTTAGAAAGGGGTACACTGGAATCGGCTGGCACCATGGCAGCACAGGCACATCAAACCCTCACCAGAAACACCTGTATAACAGTTCCATTTTCCTTCTTTCAACAATAGCATGATTTCTGTTTGCAGACTGTCATTTACTTACTTTAGAGGAAAGAAAAACACCTCCTTTCCTCCATCACAGTTCTCAATAACTTTGTTCTAGTTTGATAGCAAACCTGTGGAGGAATTAACCCCAGACAAATATGGTGTGAGAGATTTCAAGTTAGAACTACAGTTGAATAGGAAACATTTAAAATGAAGGTAATAATACAGAAACACCAGCTTAAAGTGAAGAAGTCAGAATGCAACCTGCCACTCTGTTGGTCATGGTGGTGGTAGCAGTCCAGTTAGATGGTGGCTGCAGTCCTGTTGGGGTGATGGATATGGTCTTGTCGAAGTGGTGATTCTGAAGAAAGATCTGATCTGTCTCTGGAGGTCCAATGATGGTCTTCTCTTCTGGGAATCCACTGGAAGTAGTGCCCCACAGTGTTCCAAGCATCAGTTTACATACAGGTGGGAATGTTCAGTAAATCCCCTCTGGGCAGGGCATCTCACAATGGGATGTGTAATTCTTTGAGTCATTCCATGAGACCTTGATGGCCCATTAGCAGAGATGACCCAGCACAGAATATCTGTTGCTTCCCCAGAGGGTTTTATCAGGACTGAGTCAGAGAGGATAAAGAAAACTGACCCATCTTATCTTAACAGCTTATGGAGCTGGCAATAGAATACATACTTTCGGTTACACCTTCCATGTGAACCAAGACAAACATTTACACAGCTCAAGTTACATGGGAATCAGCTGATGGGGGAGATTTACCTACGCAACCTTTAGCCCAATCACTCCCCTCAAGAGCCATAGCTAATATCCAATCAGTCCTGCCTTGACTGAGTCACAACTGCCCTGCAACAATTATTTTGTGCAATGTCAGGGCGGACCTACCTTCATCTCCAACCACCCATGCAGTAGCTGAGGCAAGAACAAACAGGGGACAGCAATCGCCCACAGGCCTTCCTGTTATCAGACTAAAATCTCACCTCCAGGCCCTAAGGACCTACAGTCCAATAGATTCCTTCCATCACCTCTGTATAGGAGACCAGAGGGTGCTGGGACCTCTCCTTCTTTCTGCCCCTTTTTGCTGCTGTTGGGTGTTTTGGCAAGACTAGCCAATATGCAATTAAAAAGCAGGAGTAAAAAGCAGCACTCAGTTAAAAAAAAATTTAAAAAAGCAGTAAAAAGCAAATTAAAAAAAAAAAAACAACCTATTTAAGAAAAAAAAAGCTCCTTCCTTATTTGACACTTTTGATACTTCATGTGGACTCCTGTGTCTTGTCCTAGACACCCCAGAACTTGGTGTGGGGTTATCCCAGTACCTTTGAGATGATGAGTACCTGGGGCACATGGTTCATGAAAGCAGGGAGAAGAGCCTGCTGCTGCACTGTGCATTTGGGAATAGAGAAGGATCACAGCTGGGTCTGACCAGTAAGCTTCCAGTACATTTAAATAGTTTCCCTGGTCCAACACCACATAGGAAAATCTCACATTTAGCTTCTACATATGCTTTGCTATTGTTAATTTTGCTATCTAGAAGAGCAAAGTCCTTGTAATAAAATAAGCATAGAAAACTTCATTTCTCCTTCCTGCATCCCGATTCTTTGTGGTAGGAAACAAGGTATGGGTACAATTTCTCCTTCCTGCTTGCTGAGTCTTTCTGATCAAAGACATATAAGAACATTCAGATGTCAGTATTCTTTGTCATTGTGCCGAGTAGTGGCACTGCACCTCTAGTTAATGAGATGTGGGAGGAAAAATGTTTCTTCTAAAAGGTAGAAATCAAACATAGAAGCAGAGCTTTGCTGTGAATGCTCTCTCTGCAGGAAAAAAATACTTCTGTGAAGTCCAGAGCTCCTCTGTCTATAAGGTCTTTAATCCCACAGCAAGCAGGGAGAAGGCCATGCTGTCAACTAGTCTTTCACAACTTGGTTTCTAATCAACAGCATTATTTGATTGGTTCCCTCATGGGGCCATGGAGTTGACTGGCTGGGATCCAGCACAGCTTGCAGACCCCATGCTTGCAGCAAACCATTGAACACACTAAAGTGACAGGTTTGGTGCACCTCAAGGGATGCATTATCAAGATTTTTCTGAATGTAAATAAAAACATTGAGACTTTCTGGTATACTTTGCTTTGGTTTGGATTAGGGGGGTTATTTTCAGTTTTGCGGTCTTTGTTTTCTTTTTTAGCCTGCTATATTCTCTCTCTCCTCTTAGAGGAAAAGAAGCCCAAATCATTCCTGCTCTTACTCATGTATTTTCATGTCTTCCAGTTCTGTCATTTTTAACACTTGCCTTGCTTTATTGTGCCCTGAGACAGAATAAAAAACCCCATTCAACACTGATGTATCACAGGCTAGAATGAAATAGCAGTCATTCATTCATGCACATGTGTTTTTTTTCAGATCAGGAATACAAACAATTGTTTTTATACACTCTGTGATATCAGTTTATGGAAAGATAATATCAAAGATAATAAAGATAATTTCAAACGTATTCATTGTTGTTTGCCTGTCCTGGTCGGAGCTCCTACTTCTGGAGGCTCATTAATAATAATCTCACCCAGCCTGTTGGGGGAGCACGATCAGATGATACTTCCCAGCTTTTCAACTCCTTCTACCCCTTCAGGTCTAGCACATCACTTTTTGAGAACGTCAAATTCCCTCTGGATGTTAAAAACATCATATTCTTGTTGCTAATTCTGCTATGTCTCCACTGTACAGTCTACAACATGTTTAGAATCAGGCTGGGATTTCCAGGGAGTTTTCCCAGAACTATCCCAGGGGTGAAAAATCCTGAGTGGCATGGAATGTGGGAGGATATAGGAGAGATTTTTAAGAAATGCTCTAGTTCAGTGAATTTCCCCTTGAACAAACACAGGACCCAGCAAAGGTAGGAGAACACTTGAAGGAAAATTACAGTGCAGTTCCAAAGAGGGACATCTTATTGCACTGTGTTGGGCCCTGGATAAGRCTTATTGCATAGTGTTCATTACTGCACAGCAGGGCCTACAGATGGAGGGGAAGGGGAGCAAATCAACAGAACCCCCGGTCACTCAGACTGCAGTTAAACTAGAAGGGCAACCTAAGCCCGTAGTAGTTGCTCCTGTTCACATGAGGAAATCCAAGACCAAATGGATTCATCTGGTGGATGACGTCAGGGAGGCAGAACACTCACAGCCAGCACAGGAATCAGATCAAGAAATAATTACCAAACCCCTATCCTTAGAAAGTCTATACAATCTGCAGAAAGACCTCATCTAATGAAAAGGCAAGTCTATACTGAGCTGGCTGATCCAAGCCTGGCATACTGCAGGTGATACTACAGTTTCGGATGGTACTGAAGTGAGGCACCTGGGACCTGAGTTACATGATGTGGATATCAGTCAGGGGATTGCAAGGGGGCCCAAACCTCTCAGCCTCTGGATGCGACTCTTAGCAATTGTGAAGGAGAGATACCTTTGCCAAGAGCACCTCCAGCTGCATCAAGGCCCTTGGAAAACCACTAAGTACATGTACATTCTTTGCACTGCAGTCAGTAACTCATTTGCCTGAACTGAACCCTTTGCTTTTGTATTCTTACTGCAATAAGTTACACACAAAGTAGCCCATGCAGAGCAGTATGATGGAGTTGTAGTCCAGAGGATGTAGAGAAAATTCTGCTGTTTCCCAGCATTAATTGTTCCCACAACATAATCATACTATTTTCTTGTAAAAGTATATTTGCACATTCAGGTTCTTCTCTCTTGGTCATCTTGACTGCTTGAAACTAACCAGGCCTGGCAAAAAAAAAAAAAAAAAAAAAAAAAAAAAAAAAACAAAAGTTTAATAATTTAAAATTAGGTAGACTATTTACTATGCAAGTGTTCGTACTTACAGGTTGGGAGGAGAAGGTGATTATAGGGGGGGAAGAGCAAGGCCAACTGATGTCATCAGTGTGCAGAACTCTGGTGGTGGAGAGGTATCACATAATGATTTATGTGCCACCCATGATCAAGTAAGTGCAGCCGTCATGGGTCTCTACAGTGGTGGTCTGCAGCTGGAGTCTGAGCACAGCTACTAGAAGCAAGAGAGGAATGATCAAAATAAACGTCATGAGATAGTAATAAAAAGGAGAATGTAATACTACTACTACTATAACTACTGGTGATAATGAAGATAATTATAATAAAAGCAATGAAAATGAGAGAGAAAGAAACAAGTGATGCACAACACCATTGCTAACCTCCTGTTGACTGATGCCCAGTCTGTCACCAAGCAGTGATCACTGGCTCCAGTGATACATTGGGCATGACATTCTATGGTATAGAGTATGCCATTGGTCAGTTTGGGTAAACCGTATTGGCTATGCTCCCTTCTTGTGCACCTGCTTGCTGTCAGAGTATAGGAAACTCAAAATATGTGATTTGGAGTAAGTACTTGTTATCAACAACAAAATAATCAGTGTATTATCAACATTGTTCTCATTTCAAATCCAAACCACAGCACTGCACTAGTTACTAAGAATAAAATTAACTTTATTCCAGACAAAAACCATGACAGCAAGTTTACTTTACAAAAACTAATACAGAAATAGTTTGAATTAATAATATTAAGGAAATAGTGAGTTTCAAAGGTCTTTAGTTTATATATGTATCATACAAATTAGGCGATTTTTTTTAACACGTCGGTTTTCTACCGAATGACTCAACTTGAAACAAGCATATCAGCCATTTGAATCAAGTTACCTGATTCTGAGGTTTTAAACTGTCTTTTCCCTTCCTTTTAAGAATGCCATATAAAAGAAATTAATTTAAGAAGTTTGTGTTTAATTGGAAAGGGAGTGTTAATACCAATGTGCTCATCAGAAAACATCTAAAATTCCTCTTACCAAGGATTAGTCACCTGGCTTCATTTGCATCCCACCCACACCTGAGTCTGTGCAGAAAATTCTTCATCCTCTTCCCCATCCCTGAAAGAGGAATAATGGAAAGAGTTACATACAAAGGCATTGTGGTTGATAATTTGCAGATAGACAAGAAAAGAAAAGAAACCGGGGCATGTCTGATGCTGGTTTTTGTGCTTCTTCTTTCCTTGATGCTCTCATTGTGATGCTATCGAAAAGAGAATTCAGAGCTCTAGTAATTGAGATGGTGTTGGCCACCGATATGTCCTGTCACTTCCAGCAAATCAAAGCTATGAAGAATGCTTTGCAGCAACCAGAAGGGTGAGTCACTTCTCAACATGGTGCGGTGAGGGGGTTGCATTTCAGCTGGTACTTTGCGAATGTCTTTGCCTTCAAAAGCATCTCTCCAGAGGCCCTCTCTTTCTTTGATGTCCACAACAATTTTCTTTCTGCTGTTGAATTTTGAATGAATTCACTTAGGAAGGGACAGCACATCTACAGTCTCTGCTGGTGGCCCAAAGCTTTCAAATGTTACCATTGTTGGGACCACATTGTTGATGTTTCAAACGTCACCATTGTTGGAGCCAGCCTCACTGGGCATTCTCTGGTGGGTAGCATGACGGACATCCTTCATCTGAGTGACCTCTACAATTGAGTATGACTCAAGGTTATAAGACCTGCAAAATATAACTTGCACTTTGCCCTTATGCAGATGGTATCAGCTGCTACTCCTGGAAGGGGCCTGTTTCATAACCAGAGGACAGATGAAAACTTGAGATCCACTGAGGGAAGAACTGGAAAATAACAGATGGAGCAGTATGGGGGAAGCCTTTTCTTCTTCTCAGTATGCCACAGGGACCTGTAATATTTTGTCCACAGCTCCTCCAAAAAAAATTCCTTCTATATTGCTCTGAGTGATGGTCAGTTTTTCACCCTGGACACAGTTATTTCCAGAGCCTCCCAGAATTATACCTGTATTAGAATTATACCTGCACCAAAGCAGGTGCAGCTAGCCACCTGATCTTCTCAGAAGCTACAACTATTTCAACTATTTTTGATAGCCAAAAAGTGGAATTAAAAACTGGGACCACTGATTCCAAGAATACATTATATACTGGGTTGTTGGGCTAACCTCCTAGGTGGTGGTTGTAAGAAATCACTAGCTTTTTTTCCCTGTGAAATCAGATGCCAGAATGTCCTTCTGTTCTCATACTAGCTTTCTATCAGAGAAATATTTATCAGTTATTGCGTACACTTGTCAAAGTCCCAGAGATCCGTGCTGTTCATTACACTAGGATGATAGCAACCAGCTTCTCTTCTGAGCTGCATAAAATGCMACACAGATAAAATGTGTAAAAGAACAGCTCTTCAAGACTACTAGTGCAGACAAGCAAGCTTGGAAAGTTGCTGTGCAACTTTTGTTTTTGCATTTCTTAGTAACTCTTTTAAAACAGGAATTGTGTATGTTGGAGAAACAAAAGAGTATTTCAGTATTGTCTGATTTTATGATCAGAGAAAACACCTCATTAATATGCTGGCCAAAGATTCTAATTGCCTTATTTTCCTGTAGATAAGGTTTTGTTGTTCTTCCCTATAAGAGCAGACAATTAATTTGTTTGATCCTTTGGGTTTTCAGAATTGACAAGCCGAAAGCCTTATCACTGTTATTACATACAGCAGATATCAGTCATCCAGCCAAGGCCTGGGATCTCCATCATCGGTGGACCATGTCTCTGCTAGARGAGTTCTTCAGACAGGTAAAGCTAGGGAAGTTCCTTTGTTTTCTGCAGCTGAGAGGGAGTGTGTAGGATTGGGTAAGGATATAGGAAAATATGAAGATATTTTAATTTATCCTTGATTTGTGTAAGAATCTTCTAAATTGTATGAAGCTTTCTCCTCTTAGCACCATTAGCACTGGCTATTATGACCCTTAGGAGGCTAGTGTCTGATCCACTGCCTATAGATATAAACATTATCTACATAATAGAAATTATAATTTGTGAAGCTAATATGTCTTTCAAATTAGGAAAACACAGAATGTACATCACTCTGCTTAGCTCTAGAACGATAAAACCAGATTTTGGTAGCTGTAATTTGTAGAACTCTACTTACATTGTTGCAATGAATGTGAAAAAGTCTTACTTTGCCCTTACTTTAAAAGAAGTGACCTGATCAAAATTACAGTTCATAGTGGACCACCTGTTGACACACCCACAAATCTAGGCAAGTCATTGAGGTTTGTCTGATGGTTAAAAGGTCCCCAAGTGATTAACAAAATGCATTTAAAGAATCAAAATAGAAAAAAAAATAAAAAAGTAAAAGAAAACAGATAATTTAAAGAGTGTATAGGATGCTTTTTCCCATTATGAATTGCTAACCTAAGAAGTGCTAGCACTTAAGTGCTTATTTTCCCTCCATAGTTCAATAACTTCATATTATATAGTAAATCTGAATGCAAAAGGGAAAAATGCAACAATTATTTAAAAGTTCTGATAATTTTTTTTGATCTGTTTTTAAAGGCACGGCAGTAATCCCCCTGTTTTACAAGGATATTGCAAAAATTTGCTTTGAAATGAATCCTTTGACTTGTTTTGCAAAGCAGGAAAGGGTTTATTGGTGGAAGCAGAAAGATCATACCTGTAGCTGATACTGTCTTGTTAAACATGCAAGACATAATGTCTTGCTCATGCAAGTAGGATGATTATAACATGAATATTAGGGAAAATTCTGAGCATATTTATGTTTTTATAGCTCAAAGTTATACTAAACATGTTAAAATACTGCTAAAGACTTGTGAAGGAATATAAATTGCCTAGATGTGAGACCACAGAAACTCCAAGTTTTGTTTGAATTTACATGTTATGAAGACAAAGCTATTATTTTATATTTATAAGACTTATTTATATTTATAAGACTATTTTAATTTCAGCCAAAAAATTCTACTTTAGTTTTGTATGATGAATGACACCACTTTTAAATGAAGCTTTCTATAAAACTTGTATTCTAATTCCAAGTTCAGATGCAGTATTTTTTCCGTCTTCAGGAAAATCACTAAGCTTACCATGAAGAACAGATTTATGCCCACTGAAGTTATTTAATACTAGATCAATAAGTACTGTTCATTAGAAGAAAACCTTCTTCTAATGAACACTTCTCACAAATTGATGTCCCAGTTCTGGCCAGGACAGAGTTAATTTTTGCAATAGCCAGGAGTGCTATAGATATGGAGGTTATTCTATTCCATCTCAATTAATTTTCCAGGGATAGAGGAGAGGCTGTCTTCTGGGTTGGGGTAGTGTGGTCTGCTCTTCCGTGAGCTTTTGGATGTGATTTACTTCCTCTCTCTTGAACTTCCTCTCTCTTTGGTTTTTCTTATCTCATTGCTGTTCCCAATAGATTATTATTATCTCAACTGCCAATCTTTACCTTTTGTGCCTTCATTTGCCCTCTCCAGCCCACTGCAGGGGGAGGAGGAGGGAAAGGGGAAGAGGGGAATAAGTGGTTTAGAGTTTTTTCCATGGGAGCACAAAATTGAAGAATACATTGCTAAACCAAAACAGCCTAGTTTTGCACCCATTGTGGGACTCAAAGAGTTGAGATAACAACCCATGTGGCCACAGAGTGTTGTAAACCAATTTATTCTAAACATTTGTTTTACTAGGTATGGAGCCACTGGTCACAATGTTGCTTGGTCTGTTCACAAGGCTGTGGTACCTAACTGCATATATATTTCATATATACACTAAGTGCTTAACATGATGTTCCTTTCCAGAGCAGGGAGAGGGATTAGGATTGCCTTATTGCTGCAGTGTTTGATTTTAGCTTTGCACAATGAAGGCTCTCACAATGGGAGGAAGAGGCAGGGCCAGAGATAGTTTCCCTATCCCCGGGTGAGCTGCACGATATGTGAAAATTCTTCAGCTGCCAGTTGGGTGAACCCCTGATTACCTGCCTGGTCCGGTCCTGGGATATTGTGGCCCATATTATGAAACTAGATAGATGGTAGTGAAGCCATGCAACTGCGATCTGTGTCCTGGGATGTGGGCATTAACAAAGGGATTGGGAAGAAGACAGAAACAGTCAGCCTCTTGAGCAACTCCCATCAAGTGTGAGAAAAAGATATTCGTTTTCTCAAGTATGTTCTAGTAGTGTGCTTAAATAGGGGGAAAGCTATGGAGAAATGTATCCAGTACCTGAGAGAATTAGCTGTGCTGAAGGTAACCTATAGTGATTCAAAGAACAAGCAGACCCCAGTAGATTCAGAACAGGTCCAGCTGACACAATCCATGTGGCAGAAGTTTATACAGAGTGCACCATCGTCATACACCAACTCAATCAATAGTCAATACACCAACTCAATCAATAGCATCACTGAATGCTGCTGTGAYGGGCATGTTGGAAACTGACGACAATCTGGAGTCAAAGGCAGCAAAGTGATGCCACTATGGACATTGCTAATGCATTTTTCTCCATTCCTTTATCAATAGAGGGGAGGCCACAGTTTGCTTTTACCTGTAGGGGTGTCCCATACACCTGGAACCAAGCATTGATGTCAATGAAAGAAAGAGACAAAGAGGGCTTCAGGTGACTACACAATTACTGCAATATGAAATAATTTCTTTTCCTCCTTACCAAACTGGACCTCAGCTGTGGAAAGACTCTCCCAGACTGTGGGCAGGCATGAAAATTCAAGCATGTTAGAGAGGAAAGGTCTTATTACCTGCCAGAATGGACCAGAGTCTCTGCTATTGGAAGCAAGCATGCGCCAGCTCAAGATAGAGGGTACACACCACAAGGTAACCTGCAGTTTTACTTGACCATAGAAAAGAAGTGAGGAAGTGGAATGGAAAACCCATCTCTACCCTAGCAGCGTGGGTACATGAGTTGAGAGGAAGGACAATCACTGCAAGAATTTCTTCAAGGATAAATGCCACTCCAGTTTCTAATGGGCAAGTCCTCAGATTCAATGGAAAGGCTGATGTTACTTCTGATCCTCTTAAAAGGACAGCCAGTTCATATTTACGAAAAGTGAGCAGCAAGTGACATGACCAGAGCTACAGGATCCCTGCCTCCAGCCAAGTGGAAGAAAGGGACAGGTCTATTGGACTGTGAGGATGCCATGGCCTGGTACATGAAACCCACAGGAGTATAAGGCTTTAGTTGACACTGGCACACGATGTACCCTGATGCCTTCAAGATCTGTGCAGGCAGAATCTATCTTTATTTCTGTGGCAACACGCGATCCCAACAGCTGACAGTACTGGAAGCTGGGGTGGGCCTGACAGCGAACAAAAGGCAAAATAACAGCCCATTCGGCTGATCGGCCTAGAGGACCTGTATATCCTTCCCACAGATTAACTCAGAAGAAGGTATTTCAAGAACCCAAGAGGACATTGTTGGGCTTTTGGGATAGTCTTGGAGACAGGAAATAAGATAGATGAACACCTTGCCTGTTCTCTCAGAGAATGTTTTTACTGTGAGACTGCATAGGGTCAAAAGCAAGGTACTGATGACTACAGGTACTGATGACTACAACAACAGGGCATCATCAACAACACCACACCAACCAGGGGTCTGTGACCCTCATCCATGAAATGATTCATGAAGTGGAGAGCCAGGGAGTTGTCAGCAAAATTCACTCAGTCTTCAGTAGTTTTATATGGCCAGTGCATAAATCTAGTGGAGACTTACAGTAGACTTTTGTATCCTGAACAAAGTCACAGCATCACTGAATGCTGCTGTGATGGGCATGTTGGAAACTGATGACAATCTGGAGTCAAAGGCAGCAAAGTGATGCCACTATGGACATTGCTAATGCATTTTTCTCCATTCCTTTATCAATAGAGGGGAGGCCACAGTTTGCTTTTACCTGTAGGGGTGTCCCATACACCTGGAACCAATGGTTCCAGGAGTGGAAGCACAGCCCCATTATTTGCCATGGACTGATCCAGACGGAACTTGAAGGGGGTGAGGCTCCAGAACACTTACAATATGTTGAATGACATTATTGTGTGGAGCAACACAATAGAGAGAGTTTTTTGGAGAAAGAAGATAATCCAGTTCCTCCTGGAGGTTGATCTTGCCATAAGGCAAAGTAAAGTCAAGGGACCTGCCCAGGAAGATAAATTTTTAGGATTAAAATGGCAAGATAGATTTTCTCAGATTCTAATGGACATGGTCAACAAGAGAGCAGCTATGTCCCCACCAACCAGAAAGAAGGAAACACAAGCTTTCCTCAGTACTGTGGGTTTTTGAAGGATGCTTATTCCAGATTAAAGTCAGATTGTAAACGCCTTCTATCAAGTAACTCAGAAAAATAAATGTTTTAAGTGATGTCCTGAACAGCAGCAAGTTTTTTAACAAATTAAACAGGACATTCTTCAGGAGCCATTGGGCCTGTTAGGACAGGACAAGATGTGAAAAATGTGCTGTGCACTGCAGCCAGGGAGAATGGTTCTTCCTGGAGTCTCTGGCAAAAGGCACCCTGGGAGACTTGAAGGTGACCGCTGGGATTCTGGAGTTTGGCATACAAGGAATACGAGGCCTGTTACACCTTGACTGAAAAAGAGGTACAGGCAGTTTATGGACAAGTTCTAGCTGCTTCAGAAGTGATTGTCACTGAAGCACAGCTCTTCCTGGCACCCCGATAGCCAGTGCTGGTCCGGATGTTTAAAAGGAAAGTCCTTTTCACACAACATGCTTCAGATACAGTGTGGAGTAAATGGGCTATGCTGATCACTCAGAAAGCTCAAATTAA